TGAACGAGTTTAAGAGTTTTAAGAGTTTAAAAGTTTTTAAGAGTTTTAGTCAAATGCTTTATAATATAGTATAGATATATGATACAAACTTTTATATTTTAATTTGTCATCCAACATGTAACAAAATTATATATGTATTGTACACGTGACATAAGTCAAATGGTTGGTGGTCCACGTTTCATTTCCTTTTAATTTCTCTAACCTATACATTTATTTTTTAGTTGTATAATCTTCATATTTTGGAATTCATATTCTTGTGATCATAAAACTCTGTCTCCCATACATTTTAAAACCATATTCTAAGTTCTAACAACAATAAACTTTTTAATCAAACTTCTTTTTTATTAACAAAAACTAATTAATATTTTTAATCATAAATCATGGTACCTTTTTATTTTATTTTATAATTATACCCTTAAAATGTTATCAATTACTAATTATTTTAAATTGTTGTTGTTGTTATCATTATTACGACTAAATGTATTCGTGTTCAATTCATAATAATGCTTTAAATACAATATTTGCTTAGTATGCCAAACATATCCGGTAATGGTTTAATGAGTTACTTTATGACAACTTAAATAATCATTTTTAGATAAGCTCAAAAAATAAACTAGTTTACAATCAATAATTACATGGTCTTAATATATAAGCACAACGTAAACATTTTCTTTGGTAAATTATTTCAAAATAGGCAATTATTTGTTTTGTTAAAGACTTAAAGTTATCAAACTTTGAGGAAAATTATGGCATATAAATTTTGTTGAAAGAGAAAGAGTGGTTTAGGTTTATGCGTATACACATGCTTGTTATTTAGAAAAAAGTAATCAAGTGTATAAATAATTAAAAGTTGTTTAATAAAAAACCATCCATATTTATTTTTACTACTCAATCAATTACGACTTTTCCCAAATAAGTGTGTATATATGCAACATACACTAATTAACAAATGAATTAATCGGGGGGATTGAAATAGAAATAAAAATAGAAATAGAAATAGAGGGTACTGAAAGGCAAAAAAACGTTTTTTGTTGAGAAAATGCAATGTGGATGGTATTTTATTTACACGTTAATTTGTCACTCAATCCAAATATTAATTTATGTTTAAAGTAATAAAGTTTTTCTCTCTTTTTATTATAGTTATAAAATGAAGAAATTAAAGAATTCTAAAAAATAATAAAATTAATGAAATATTATCATTATTATATATATATATATATATATATATATATATATATGAGCGATCAAATGAAAACCACTCCAATTTGTAAAAACCGTAAAAACTACTCTCATCCATTGTTAATCTTATGAAATTTTTTCATGAAATTGTTAATCTTGTGAAATTGTTTCATATAATACTTTTTTTGATGAAGTTGTTTTATATGTGGTTATGAAATTGTTTCATATACTACTTAATGAAACTTTAA